GATTATTTTAAAATTAATCGGTCATGTTTTTTATGTCACAATTACTTAATTATTTTTACAAGAAAAAAATATTTTACTTAGGTCTAAAAGCTTTTTTGATATTTTATTTTTCACATCACAGGAGAATGGTTTTGTTTTCCTTAAAATTAAAAAAAAAAAATTACCTTGTATCCAGGGTTTTATTTTCACTTTTATTGTGTTTGATTTTATTTTTTTTTATCATGTGGTCTTATTTTTAAAGGTAATTTAATATTTTAATAAATATAAAAAAAAAAAAATTATGGACGCACGCTAGCAAGCAAGTCATTTTTTAATATTTAAGCCATGCGTCAAGCTACCTGTAACAACCAAAAACAACCCTTCTTTGGTGTTTTTCAATTCATCACAGAGAGGCCTATCTTTTTATGCAACCAAAAATAATAACCAAAAACAACCCTTTTTTGGTGCTTTTTAATTCGTCACAGAGAGGCCTACCTTTTTACGTAGCTTGTGTGGCATAATTTGCTCTGGTTTGGCATTAATTTGTTTTTTTAAATTTTTCTTGATCTGTGCATTTAACTTTTTAAAATTTCACAACAACTTTTAATTTTTTTTTTTAAATTTAATCCTTATTATTTCAATTGATATTTTCTCATTTGAGTTATCTTATAAAACTAAAAAAAAAATCATCCCTCTTTAATTTTTTAATTTGTTAAATTTGATTTTATTTTTTTATTGTTATTATTTTGTTTAAGACTATTTTAAAAATTCTTTATTTTTTTATAATTTCATCCTTATTTCATTATCCTTTATTTTTTATTATTATTTTTTACTTTGAAAAATTAACATTAAATTAAACTTTTTGATTGAACCTAAATCAATAATTTAATAAATCATGAATTTAAAATATCAACCTGATAGGAGATTCGCTTGATTTTATTTTTTGTTTTAAGTTTATATTTTTTTTAATTTTATTTTTTAACAATTGATTTAGTTAGAGATTGGGTTCTATTATTTTTTTATTTGTTTTTTTATAGAATTTTTCACCATTTTTTTAAATGACTTGAGTTATATTTAGTCATTTTATTTATTAATTTTTTTGTTAAATTTATTATTTTTTTAAATAGAATTTAATTCAAAATATGATTAAATTTTTAATAAGGAAGGATGATGAAATCCAAATGAAAGCTAAGGGTGAATTATAAGGAATCCAAAATGGGCTGACTAAGGGCTCTATTGCAAAGTGAAAAAGGTTTAAGGATTAAATTGAAAAAGTTCATGATTTATTGTCTTCTTCCACTAAAACAAAATTAAAAACATGCCCACCTTTCAGCCATAAACTCTTCCCCATCTCTTCATCATACCACACGAAATTTTTTCCAAACAATCCTTTGGTATTTGAAGTGAACTCTAAGCTAAAATTCGATGTCTTCTTGCATTTTAAAAACCTGCATGTTCTCTTTCAAAAACACTACTCGATATTGCTCTGCTGCAAAAACAACCTTGAGTCTTTCATTGTCGGTTAAATTTTTGTTCTTTGCTTTAATGAATAGTTATGATCCATTACTCAACATCAAGCTCTTTATCTCCATCTATAACCCTAAAACAGCCTTCTCCAATCAACAATCTTAGCCAAAAACCAACTAAAAAGGGGTCATCACCCTCACTTTCCGAAGAAGGAAGAAGGCGTGACATCTTGAGAGGGGAAGAGAATGCAAATTAACTAACTCTTCTAGCAAGCACAGTAGCAGAAGCCAACTTCTTTCCTCTCAACCTTCATTCCACTGTGAACAAGCTACACTTCCAGCCGCTGTAGTCAGCAGTAACCTCTTCCAGTTACATCCAGCAATCTTCTACACGGACAGCGCAGTCAGTCCAGCAACGAATACAACACCAGCCGATTGCTTCACCAAGAGCCACACCACTTTCAGCAAGATCTTCACCTTCTCAATCCAGTGGCAGCTGCAAGATCTTTACCTTCTCAGTTCAGTAGCTGCTCCTAGGTTTCAGTCTCCATTTAATGTGAGGTTTCTCCAGTCCAGCATGCACTCCTCCAGCAGCAGATTTTCCAATCATGAGCAGTACCTTTTTCTTCAACCGTGGGTGGTCTGTTAGTTCAAACCGTGAGCAGCAGCAAGAGGCCTAAGTTCCAGCATTCTTGATTTTCCTTCTTTTTTTCCATTGATGCTGCGGCAGCAGGTGTTCCTCAGCCACACCTTTTCTCAACTGCAGTGGCAGAGCCATTAGAAGCCTTCCTTTCCTTCCAGCAACAGCATCCAACGTTCTATACCGAGAGAACAGTGAAGGATTTTTTTTTCAATAGTTGCCATGGCAGTTCATCCTTCCAGCAGTTTGAGTTGAGCCTACAAGAGATTTAAGGCCATGTTTGGCTTTACAGAAATTTGTCAAGGAAAAACAAAATTTTAGAGCCCGTAAGGCTTCTTTGGCAAGTATGTCCCACCAAAATTTTCAAGCCTTGTAATTTTATTTTATTTTTTGTAGTGTTTTGCCGAAGTTTTGAAATATCATTTCACAATTAATTTTAAGTTCTCCATCTTATTTTTAATTCTTTCATATTTAATATTTAAAATTATAATCTTCACAGGAGGTGATTTTTCGTATTAAATAAATTATTTTTTTTATGTAGAAACAATAAAATTTCCTAAAAAAATACATTTAAATATTAATTTTCTAAAAAAAAAATACAATATATATGTATAGAGAGAGAGAGAATCTTTTAAAAATATCAAAATTCAAGAAAAATAGTTTTATTGATATTTTTACATGTATTTTTAGATTTAATAACTAATTTATTAAAATAATAAGAACTTGATTTATATTTCAAAAATACTAAAACATTTATTTTGTTTGTATTACAAACTAATATATTAAATTTTTCACTAGATTAGACCTTTATATTTTAGCACTTTTCACAAAGTGGTTCTTAATTTTGTATTTCTTTAATGTCGTCCTTAATTAAACTTTATATTTCAAATTTATTTTAATTAAGTTCTTGATTTTATTAATTTAGTCTCAATTGTATCTCTAATCTTTCAATATTTGTGAATAGATTCAACTTAGGTTTCCGCACTTGATTTTTATTTAACTGAGTCATTGATTAAATTTAAAAAACTCATTAGAAGTTTAATTAAGTCTTTGGATTTCATTAATTTTAATAATATTTGTCTGATTGACTTTTAAACTTAATTTTTTTAATTAAATCCTTAAATAAGTTAATTAAACATGTCAGGAATTTAATTAAGTCTTTAGACTTAATTAATTCTTTCAATTCTAATCAAATTTAAATTTCAACCTCAATTTTCTTCCTTTCTTCATATCATCGTGCCAAATCATTTTAATTTGACTATTCTTCTAGTATTTTGATCTTTTGCAACTCAAAGGTTTGTTTTCTCATGCCCTGAAAATATTTTTGAATTTTATATTTTTTATTATTCTTGAATTTTTTATTAGAAAGAAAAGTATATAATTTTTATAAAATAAACTTGGAGGGTCCAAAATTATATTATGACATAAATTAATTAAAAAAGTTATTGGGATATTATTTGATAGGGTATGATTCAATTCCTACCTGTTTTTAATAGGATTACAACATATGCTGGCAAGTTATTTTGTTTCAGTTTAAATTTTTTTTAACAAGAATATAAGTATATAATTAAATAAAAATATTAAATAGGAGAACATGGTGCAAAATTATAATTTTTTTTAATCTGGGTCTATCCCTTAATGTCTCAGTGCTCTTTAGTTATCATTAACTATCTGTTTTAGCATTTATTCGCACCTATAGCAATCAATCAATCTATTCGGCGTGCTAGTTCAAACTAACGCATCACCAAAAACAACATAAAAAAGGAAATTCTCAAGGATAGTCAACTTGCAATTAAAACATTAAATTAAATCCGAATACATATTAAAAAAATATTATTATTTTTATCTATACATATTAATAGTGTAATTTAAAACATATAATTGTATTAGAAAATAATAAATTACGTTTATACTTATGATGCTTTAGTTTAAATATTGCTAGAAATTACATTAAAATACAAAACATTACAACAATTGTACATTTTAAATCATATAAACTGTGTAGTGAAACAGGGTATAATAGGAAAAAAAATTATTTTCAATATTTTTTAAATACCAAAAAAATATTTGATAAAAATAAAAATCATATTATTTCAAAAAGTTAATAGCTCAAAACCTATTATTTTTCAATTTATTTTCTACAATACTATCAAACATTAATATGTGTGTGTGTGTGTTAATCACTGATTAAATTTACCTTTGTCCGATATTAACACGATGTGTTAATACAAGCTGGGTTAGTTTAACGTTTGCATTCCAGTTTCAATCAAGCAATGCTCGAGTCTCGAAAACTGCAGTACTTAACAATTAAAGCGAATTATCTATCTCGAAGAAAAACTTATTGAATCCTAAATTGAAAATAAAAATGATAATGTAAATTAGGTCATTATTTATGAACGTCTTCAATTCACTAAAACAATTGCATCGTTGTAAATTTGCCCTAGAAAAAAACAAATCACCCTCTAATTACGTTTTGCATTTGTCAACCCCATAAAGGAAACTCATTTAATTTAAAATATATTATCATAGATAAATTATTATGAATTTCATTAAATATCACTTAAGTTCAATTATCATAAGGTTTGAATTATAGGTTAAATAAATTAACTCAATTTAACTAGTGTATTTTTTAAAAACTCAAACCAAGTTTTAACAGGTTTACTAATTTCATTTTAAATTGATTATTTTTTTGACACCTTACCTGAGTCAGAAGCCGAGTCGTCCGGATCTCAAACCAACCTCCTAGCATTACCAGCTATGCTTTTAGGGGTTCAAAAGAAGACAGGAGGCTTTAATTAAAACTATAGCCTATATATTTGGGGCTGCTGTGATAATAGGAAAAACATTACAGGCGGAAAATAAATAAAATAGAAGTGGGGTAGCTCTAACAGAAATAAGAGAAAAGGGAAGGATTCACTGGTGATAGTGAAAGTGAAAGTGAAAGTCAGAGAGAAGAGGAGAGGAGAATCCTAAGCACCTCTTTGAACACTGATAGACAGGACTCCTCTCTCACGTTAACTCCGAGGAAAGAAACGAAGGATCTCACAGCTCTCTCTATCATCATCATAATCGCTTTCACTTGGAAAACAGAAAGTGAACATACACGGAGAGAGAGAGAGAGACAGACTTGAAACAACACAGAGCTAAAAGTAGAAATCAATGATTTTGTTGCAGTCCCATTCCAGATTTCTCCTTCAAACATTACTGAATCGTGTCCAAAAGTGAGTCTTCTTATCATTTCTCTCTCTTTGTACACATCCAAGAAATGATGTTTATTGCACCGCTGATTTTATTTTTTTTAACTGGGTTGATTTCAGTCTTGAAAAGGCAGTTGAATTGGATTACCACTGGGTGGAGTTTGATGATGTTCGTTACCATATTCTGGTGAATACCAAGATTCCCCTTTTTAGTTTCCTGTCCTGGGTTTTCCTTGTTTTCTTGGCTTATTTTAGATAATATCTTTGTTGGGTTCTCTTTCTTTCTTGTTTTAGGTGTCAATGAAGAATCCAAATGTCTTGCTGTTATCCGTTTCGTTACCAATCCCACCTCCAGAAGCTGTTTTCATAGGTGGACTTCCGTTTGGAGCCATAGAAGCTTTAAAGGCTGCTTATGGTGTGGTTGTGCAGATTCTTGATCCTCCCCGAGATGGCTTTAACCTCACTTTGAAACTCAATTTGGGGAAACTTCCACTTCATGAAGGTTCTACGAGTTCCTTTCCTAAGGTCATTATTTGCTTGTTATGATGTATATGTTATAGGATGGTAGCATGTTTTGTAGAATGTAGTGGATCATTTTGTTATGATCCTTGCTTAACAACAAGGATCTGAGAAGAAAAGAAAGTTAAGAGAAGAGGAAAGAAGAGAATTGAGAGAGAATTAGAAGAATAATGGGGAGAAAGGGTTCTGCAAAACTTTACAGAAATGTCAACTCATACCACTTGCCTTCTCTAGAATTACACTTTACAGTATTTATGGTATACCTTCTAACTGACTATGCTAACTAACTTCCCATGCTTAACTAACTCTAACTGTCAGATACTTACAAACCACATGTGAATTATTAACAATCACATGTTGAGTTATTCTTGCTATTGCCTCTGCTAACTGCCACTCGAGATGCTGCTGCTAAGCTGTTACTGAAGCTATTTCTCATCATGGATATTGTAATACATTTTCATTCCATATTACCATATTACATGACATTGCCATACATTACATTTTAGCGAAAGATGACACCAAGAGTTACTTGATAAGCATCCTCCGCTTCATTGGTTTGCTTTCTTTTTTTTTCCTCAAAAGTTCATCCATTGCAGGTTATGCTTTGCTTATATATTCTTCTTTTTGGTCCTTTGTTGGATTGTCATCTAGTTCAAGTTTGGTTTAAAAAATATCTGGCCATATTACCATTAAATACTAGGGAAAGTTCCATCGACTACCTGCTGAAATAGCTTAGTTATTTCTCTAAGGTTTGCTTTATGTTATTTCTTTCTAGAGCGGATTTGTAATATAAAAGGTTTTTCTTTTCATTTGTTAGGAGCATTCTGCTACTCCACCCTTGAAATCTGTATGCCCCCTTGTGAAGTTTTAGCAGCCTCTAAGTGAGAGATAGATCTTATACATTTATTACGTGGACCAAATGTTTTGCTAATGGAGGACAGGGGTATTGCCCTGGGACATTTGCGACATTCACTTGGAAGGGCTAATTCATTATTTTATCAATTCCTTAGAAAGACTATGCTGTAGCCTAAGCAGCCATCCTTAGAGGCTTTGGCATATTTATCATAGTAGAATTCTTCCTTTTTCTTCTTCTCTTACACACTCCCGTTCCTCTGCTTATGTCTGATGTTTGATTGCTTTCTCTATCCTTTATTCCTTCTACTGGCCTTTTTAATCCCATGCTTCACTGAGAAAAATTAGTGTGAGCAGCATTGGGTATTGCAAGAAAGGTTTAATAGGATTATGATCGTGTCAATATATTGTGGAGAATTGAGTGGCTGCTGCAAATGCAATTACAAAGCCCTTTTCATCAGTTGGATGGTGAGACTATTTCGTACTGCTGTTTTCTTTTTCACCTTGAATATCTATTCTCTTTGCAATTGTAGGGGGCTCTACATACCAACCATATGATTAAAGTTGCAAGCCAACTACTCCTCGAATTTGAATGTTCCATTTTGCTCATGAATGCATTGATTTCTCTCTTTATTTTACAGGATTAGTTCTGCTACTTTAGTTGATTCTTGTGTGGATTAGGTTGTGATTAAGTTTCAGGTTTTTGTTCATTTTAATGGCTGTTATTAATGTTGTTCTTAGAAAGTGTACTGTTGATATTGTGCAGAGCACAGGTATGCTCTCTTGGTAAAGATTGCATCTGTTAGGGAAGTGGTGCTAGGTGCTCCATTAAGAGTAGTTTTAAAACATCTTTCATCAAAGACTGTTATTCCTGGTATTGATGGGCTTCTGGCCCTCGTGCATCGGTCCAAAGAGTCTTTCTTCCTTGTTCCTCAGGTATGATCATAAGTTGGAAGGGAATAAAATATGTCCCTTGAACTTCTTCATTTTCCTTCATGCAATTACCTTTGTACCTATAGAAAGGAGAATATTTTAGCTAGCATTTTGTGGTGCAAAGAGGGGATTCTTTCTCCCTCTTATTCAGTGGTCCTTAATTTATATGTATTTTGTATGTTGGAAATGCAGTAGGGATGGTTGTGTTTTTTTTTTTTTTTCACATATTTTGAAACAGCTGGCAATCTCTGTGTGCCTTAATTAATACATGCATGTACACCTTATCAAAAGAATTACTTGCATTGTACAGTGGTTACCTTCTAGGAATGTCATTTTTCGAAACTGCCCTACTCCTTTGTGTCTTCTTCCTCTCTCTTCCTATTCCATTTTTTTATCTAGCTCGCCTTGGCTTTTAGTTTATTTTGAAAGATTAATTTCTGGGTTACTTCATATTGTTTGTTTGTCATATGACCCATATCTAGTAACATGAGAACAATCATGGATTGAAATTTAACTGAGTGAGAAACTTTAATTGTTTAATGCAGCCAGACAAGGTTACTGTGGTATTTCCCATGAGATTCAAGGATTCCATAGATATTGCTTTTGCTACTTCCTTCCTTCAGGTACTCCACATGTAGTTATGTTTTAATGATCGATGTTGCTTCTCAGAAATTGTATATCTGTGGGCAGGAGATGATACTGTCACTTACATACTTTATTTAGATACTAATATTACAATTACTTATAATTCTGTTGCCTAGGCTGCTTGCCACAAAATTCTTGTGTAACTATTCTTGGTTAACATTTTTCTTTTAACATTATAAAGTTCTGATTTACATCCAGGAATTTGTCGAAGCCAGGCATACAGCTGGACTTAATAATGCTCCTCCTTGCTTGTGGTCTCCTAACCCACCTCTTGAATTGAAGGAAGCCCCTGCTGAAGCATTGTCTGCAAATGCAGGATTTGTTTCTTTTGGTAATGTCACAGGAATAGCTACAATTAGTTCCCTCCTTTTTTATTGCAGCATAACAAATTGTGCCATACATGAAACAATGCAGTCATTTTTCCTCGTCATGTGGAAGGCAAAAAGTTGGACCGGACAGTGTGGAATTTATCAACATTTCATGCATATGTTAGTTATCATGTTAAGGTGAGGTTTCTGCAGATTGCTCCCACTTTTTATTTTGTCACCTGTAGCTCTTTCACATATTTTGGAATGTTGAATAACAAACACAAACACACACTGACAGAAAAGATCACTTATTTCAGCTTTATGCATAACTCACAAAGTCCTTGTTGCAATATGCATGAACAAGGAAAGTTTTTTTGGCCTTTTCTACCCAAAATGTACAAAATAAGGGTTTTAGGTTGATAAAAAAAAATTCAAAAGTTTTATTGGCTTGCTACATCAGGACTTCAACATGCAACACTGCCCTCTTATTGTAATTTTGTTTCTCTAATTTCTGTCATGCTATGTGGCGGTGCAATAATTATTTTTCACAATGGTTTTGGAATTTGGACCTAGGAGTTAACCAGAGTTTGCATGATCAAAAATACAATTCTGTGATGATCAGTTAGATGGTTTACTCTGTTAATCAGGAAATCAAAATAGTATTATAGATTGTACCTGGCAAGATCTTTTGTGTTCTTTGCACTGAAACTTGACTTGACTCTTTTTTTGAACTTGTTTTTGTTTTTCCTTGTTGCTAATGTGCGGTTCAAAGTAATTAGATACATAAATTCATCATTCGAGCCAATCAAATTTTAGTTTCTATTGTTGTTTTATAAGAACCTTTGATAAAAATAATAGTGTATGGATCTATGGTTGTGCTCCTGCTTCCTTTAATCTGCCCCACCTAAACACATAATTATTTGATGCACTTTCCTCAACAGTGCTCGGAGGGTTTTATGCATACTCGCATGCGAAGACGTGTAGAATCTATGATTCAGGTAAAATTTTCATCTTTCGCAGTTGACTTTGCTTGCTCAGTTTTCTCCTTGGTGAAAAATAATTATTTTAAAGTAGTCTGAAGAAATTTAGGTCTGACAGGAAAGACGGTTCTTTCACAACCAAATAAATTTAGTGCGGGTTCATGCTTTTGCTGCGCATTTGGTCTTAAGCTACCATGTTGCTACTTGCTAGCAGGCTGTGCAGCATCAGCACTCTGTGTTAAGTTAAGGTTTATTCAAACCTAGAAGGGTGTGGGGTTTAGGGATAGTGGATAGCTGCTCCATAGGGCCTCCAGATGAACCCAAGAAAGAAAAGAAAGAAAGAACGAAGGAAATTGGGTATGTTAAGCTGCACAAAACCATCAAGCTAGAAGAGGTCTACGGTTGATATTGGGAAAAGGCGGGAAAAGGAGTCGTTGCATTGTTGCTGTTGTTTTTCCCAAGGGAAGCCAAGCAACTCACTGACATAGGTCCTGGACCTTGCAGGGCTGTACTGCTGTACTTGATCTTAACTCATAAAATCCATTATTGACGCCCGCAGTTGGAATGGCTGTTTGGTTGGTGACAGTGACAGGAATATATTGCCATTACAGGCAACTAAAGGTAAAGCCACAGCAATGGTGTCAGTTAAGTGGAAGGCTAGAACCAACAATTTCCTAGGAAATTCCTGAAACTGCTGCCTAAATGACCACAGAAGCGCAGTGTTGAGTTTTGCTTTGCAGACGAGTCTTTGCTTAAATTTCTCTTTCAGCCATTCTCGTTTTGGTATCCAAGGATTATGGGAACATGTTCAGATAGTTATCCAAAAGAAACGCGTTTCTCTGTCCTTTCTGGACTTTGATTTCTCAGGGCCCTCAAATTTCCTTGCATGGTTTTTGGCTAGTCAATGATTCAAAGAAAAGAAGAGGTTTTTTTTTTTTTTTCCTTTTATTATAGTTAAGGGCTCATATAGAGTAACACACTTTGTATCACAGGCCTTGGATCGTGCAAAACCACGTGTAGAGGAGAAAAAGAAATCACCAAATAGCAGATCTTTTAAACGTCTGGTATGTTATTATTTTCACCTTTCTTGTTACTTTGAAGAACTTAAAGTTAAATCATTTATATATTCGTTATAATATCTATACGGATTTGTAGAGCCTCAAGGAAGCTCGAGCTAATTCAATTTCCTAGATGTGGAATTCTTGAGGCTCCTCAAGAACTTGCCGGAATCAATTCAAGGGAGGCTTGTGACGACTGCTCTCATCCTTCTCTGGAAGGGGAAAGAAGTAACAGGAAAATGAAGGGAGAAAAGCACCATGTTTAGGTGCCAATGTGTACACTTTTGATATTTGGTGGCTCCCTTGGAACCAGAAGATTCTATGATTTAAATATCAATATTTTTTCGATCTATTTTAGGGATTTTATTTTTCTCTGAAAATGTGATTTTGTTTAAGCCTTTTGTAGCTTTGCTTCAGTATATCCTCGAACCTGATGATCGAATTTTTAGGCGGGTATTAATTTTTTTTTTAAAAAAAATATAGGGGTAGCAATTACCTAATCTTAATGATGACGGGTTTTTGCTGTGTGTTGTCATCATTATTCATGTGGATGAATTAAATAAAATTTTATATTATTTTACTTTGATTTTTAAATTTTTATTAGTTCTAATTAGAAAACAATTGATGATTTTATTTTTTTATGAAATAATAGGATTGAAAAAGAAGGGTATCAAAATGAAAAGTAGAAAATATGAATGGTATGTTATAAGTTTTAAAAAAGATGTATTTTGATTATTTAACTTAAACAATTATTTATGTAAATTATACAATTTTGATCTTTTAATATTTTTTTAATTTTATTTTGATTTAAAAATTTATTTTTGTTATTTTTTTTCATGTTTTTTTTTTAAATCACTGATTTTGACAATAAAAATATAAATATATCATTAACATTAATTTAAACTATTAAAATATTAATGCTAATTTAAACTATTAAAATAAATAATATTTATATCAAATTATTTTATTTAACGAGCGGATTGTGTGCTGCCATAAACGATGTTCTACCTATATTTATTTATTTATTTATGAAAAAAAAAAAGTGAAAACAGGTTGTCGCCTTTTTCCCAATCAAAAGCAAAAAAAGGGCCGGTTGTGTATACCTGCACGTGCAGGCCCCGCGAGAGGGGTTTCTTTTTGTTTTTTGGATCAAGTGCTCTAAGCCACTATTTATTTAACCCATTGTGATTTTGTCCTTCCTTTTTAATTAAATTTCATTGAAATAAACATTCTAATAAGACAATTACCAAGAAAAAATCACATTAATATGACACAAAGGTTTTAAGTAAAAAAATTATTTTTTATCCTAAGAACCTATTGAATATTTATTCTTATCATCTTTTATTTTTATTGAGTGAAGTTCATCACATTATAATTTCTGGTTGAGAGAAATATATTAATAAGAAAAAAAAGGATAGTACTCGAAACTTTTTTTTAGTTTGATTGAATTTAATTTTTTTATATATAAAAATATTGTTAACACATAATATAAAAAACAATTGAATGAGTACTAACAACACGTATCAGTTATCTTAATTTATATTTATTTTTTATTTTTTTAATTTAATTTTTAATTTGGATCAACATTTTATTTTAATATTTATTTGTATATATAATTCTTTATGTATTTGACTAAATAAACGTGTTAATTTTTTTTCGCCACTCTTGTTCTTTTCATTAAAAACTAATTTTTAATCCAAGTAGGATACAACTAGGATAAAGTTGACTAGATAAATAGCTTAAAAAGTTAGTATTTAAGGGTAAATTATATTATACTTTAAAAGATGTTAAAAAAACAGTGTAGAGGTATCGTGAACATAAACTTTTTGCACTGTGAATCTTACTGTACACAAAGTATTTGCACTATAGACAATAATATAATAGTAGGGGGTGTTGTCCTTTTTATTTTTAGTCAAAAAATATTGTTCTGTTTGACTTAACCGCCAGACTCAATGTTGTTGGATCTGACTTCATAGATAGATCCAAGGAAAAACATTGTGCATATACTATATACATAGAATGTTTGTATTGTGGACCATACTATAAACATACAGTGTATGCATTGTTGAAGACATTGTAGCATCAAAAGGCATTGTTTTTACTATTTTTTAGTCAAAAAATGTTTGGCTTAGCCGTCATGTGCAAATGCTATTAGGTTTGACATTCTCACCAAGCTGAAGGATATTGGATCTAGCTTCGCATCCAAACCCTAAGATATTGAATCTGTCTGAGTAGCCCTACCGGAATATATTAAGCATAGCTCTGTGATCAAATCCAAGGATACTGAGTCTGGTTGGGCCACCAGACCTAGGGATATTAGGGTTAACTCGGACACCGCAACCACACCTAATAGCATTTGTCCTAATGCTTTAGGGTCTGATTGCCGAGCCGGATCCAATACTTTTGGGCCTAACATTCTTGCCAGACCCGAGGCTCCTTCAATTGGGCTCAATATTATTGGGTCTGACATTCCCACCACACCTAAGGCTTCTTGGATCCAGCTTCGCAATTATACTAAAAAATATTAGATTTGATCGTGAGGCCAGACCCAATGTTATTGGATTTAGTTAGGCTATCAAACCCAAAAGCTCTTGTGTTTAACTATTGAGCTAGACTCCGTGCTTTTAGGTTTGACAAGGCAACCCTACACAATGATATTGAGTTTGACAGTTCCTTAGATCTAAGGCTATTAGATCTCGCTGAGCCGTCAGATATAATTGTCTTGCCCTCCAAATTTAAGGATATTGAGTTTGGCTCCGCAGCCAGATCCAACAACATTTAAGTCTAGTTGCTTGGTTCTGACTCTTTATTCTTCATGTTTATTTTACATTTAAAAAAAAATTATTTTTGACCGTTACATAATGTGGGCCAATATGCTAGTATATTATTATTTATTGTGTTATATCACAATAATAATTTAAAAATAAATAAATATTATTTTTTTTAATGAACAAATGATATATGTGATTTTATAAAATCTGTTATTTTCACAATTAAATTTTGACTATACTATTTTTTTAATATTTTACTCCTGCCGTGCTATTTTGAAAACAAAAGAAAAAAACTCCATTTCCTTCCCTTTCTGTTCTTGCTTCACTGGCAAGCAGGATTCAAGGAGATATGAGGAATCTTCCCAGCCGCCCTTGGTGCAGGAAACGTCTCCGCACTTTGCAAGCAGTAAAATAAAACAATTCTAAACTTATTCAAGAAATAATATATTTTAACGAGTCATATGCGACGTTTGAAATTTTCTAAAATAATAATAATAATATATGTAATTTTATTAAAATTTTTAAAAATTTATTTTAAATTTTAAAAATATATAAATATTATCTTTATCACAATTAATAATTATTTATTTAAAAAATAATTATTAAAAAATAAATAAATATTAGTTTCAATTTCATAAAGATAACGTTTATTTAAATTTAAAAGTTATTGTTCCAATTCACGACAAAGGTTTACAGTTTTTAAGTTTCTTCTGGCAAGTCAAGTCACCCTCTTAATTAATGGTTTTGCATGTTGTTTATTAATTTCAGCAATAATATTCTAAATTATCATAAAATCAAATGGAGTCTAGTTTTCTCCCGTTGAATAGAAGAAAAGGTCAATCTTGGAGCGGTAACAGCAACGTCCTCTTTTATTCATTTTTTATTAATTAATATTCATCATTATTAAATATTTGTCAATATTAAAAATGTATTTTGCATAATTAAAAAAATCATCAAATTTAACTAATATTAAATAAAAAACATATTTAAAAATAGACTCTGTAATAACAAATAATCCACTAATAAAATATATTTTAATTTAAACAAGGACTTACAAATATGGCCATTCCATAAACAAACATTAAAAAGAAAAAAAGAAAAAAAATGTTGGATTTCGTAGCCAGGACATAATGTCTAGTTCTAATTTAAAGAAAAAAAAGGCTTTAAAATAAATAAAGAGATAAAAACTCATATCTTTGGTTCCATTCAAGCTTAATCCCTAACAATGCAGATCGAATTTTTATTTTATTTTACAATAAGTCTCAATTCCTTATGTTCACTATGATAGATCGATTATTCATCATCTATCAATCATCATTATCTCAATTCAAATAAATATTATACTAATCGAAGATTAAAACTAATATTTATTTATTTTTTAGATTTAAAACAACTTTTATTCTTTTTTAATATAATCGCGCCTGCTATACTTTTTTAAAGAGTCATACATGCCACGCGTGACTGGCTAACTTTATCATTTTTTAAATTAAACTCTGTCATTCTTTTAATTAAATTTTGAACTGTGCTAGTCTACCCATTGTTTTTACGACTGTGCTTCTTCTTCTTCTTCTTCTTCTTCTTTTTATAAAAAAGACCATACCCAGAAACTCATGGAAACCACCTAGACCTAACTCGTGACAAATTAGTAATGGCAGATTCCTTTTGGGTAACAGGTAAACGAGGATGCCATGTATATTTATTTAGATCAATCACGAGTGTTTTTATTTCCTTTTCTTTTTCCTTCTTCCCTTACACTTCGAGCAAAGAAAATAAGTACGACCAGCCATTTAGCTGCTGAAGGGATTCACTGAAAAGAAAGAAAGACTTCATTCGTGGCCAAGTTAAGAAGAGAGAGAGAGAGAGAGAGCAAAACCAAAAACAGAAGAAGAAAAGCTGCTCTGAGATTGGTGCTGGGAAAAACGCAGGAGCAATTCTGTACAGAGTATGAACCAAAGAATTTAAAAACAAAAATTTGACCGCAAAAGAAACGCAGAAAGATCCTCTTGTCTTCCACAAACTGGTTTCTGTCAGCATGCGAGGTGGCTCGGTGGTTGAGCTGGCCCGACCCATCTTGTGAAACCATCCAGCTCACTGGCTTGCCACTATCCATCTGTTGTTGCTGGACTCATGGCATTTGACCCACCAGAATAAATCCCCATGGCTATCCACTCTTCTAGCGATATCATCAACAGTAGGGCAGGTAAATTTCAAAACAGTGTGGGTGGCCCTACCCGCTACGCATCAACAGTAATAAACCACAGGCAGCAGCATTGAGTGAGGGCTTCTTTTCCCCATCTCTCTCATAATTAGAACAACATTTACTGCCGGCCATCTACTCGGAATCACTGTCCATGCTTTCCATCCCCTTCAGCCCTCTTCGTTTTTGCTGCATGTGAAATTTCACATCCCATGAATAACTCAAACCAAGGAGTTTTAAGGCTTGATGCTTGGAAAACTGATGCTACAAACAGGCATGGACAGTAAAACATTTTTCTTTTTTCCCCGTGCATTCAATTTCATGCCCTTATATGTACCAGCCTCCACCACCGTCCATATTAATATAAGATAATATGTCATGTCTCAAACAGACAGAGGCCGTGTACCATCATCCATCCCAATGACTTGATTTATTTATTATTTTGGTTTGAAAAAGAATTCACCCTCTCATTATGCTAGACGATAAATCCAACAACCCTTTCATGGAAGAGTTTCTTAGGGAAAAAGGAGAAACCCTTGGGTTAATGGGAGGCATGCGGTGGTCTTACACGTGTTCATACAGTTGGGATTCGTGTCTAACATGCCTAACACAAACAAGTGATCGACCAATGCTTAACGACAACAGCGTCATATATGTGCCAGTGATTGCAATATGCAAGGGATGGAGACGTGGAGCAAGCAAACAGAACAAAAAAATAAATAAAAAAACACGAACACAAGTTGATGTTGAATGGCATGATCTGTTTCAGTTCACAGGATGTTAGAAGCAGAAAGACCATTACCTTCTTCACACATTTCTTCTCTCTAACCTCGTACCTACTCTTTGTTAAGTCAGATAACCACATCCCTGGAAAACAATACTGCCCAAATACACAAATATATATAAAAGAAACCCATCAAAATCCTTTATCATTGTTGCAAGTAATATCAAAAATATTCAAAAGATGACAAGTTCGTGATTACCTGAAGTGCTTTATCAATGTTCTTAGCCCTTTTCTTGGGTCGTTGTGGTAGTTTTGTGCCCTTCATTGCAAAGAAATCATCCTCTTTTTCCTTCCTTGACAAAGCAATATATATCCTTGGCCACTCGATGACTTCGTTGGTGTTCGCCTTTTCTCCTCCGCTAGCTACTACTGGAACTGAGACAGTATTGCTAGTTATAACCCCAGCTTCCTTCTCTGATTTAGACGGCGTGGAATCAACTTGATTCATTTGATGATCAGCTTGTACTAATGATCCATTTGGTTTCTCATCCTTTGCCGCTGACCTAGAGCGAGGCATCTTTCTATCAATGTTTTCTGGTGTTGGAGGAGATCTCTTTCCTGCAGTAGATCTAGAAACAACCCTGCTACTGCCACCACTATTTCTTGACGGGGACCCATTTCCAGCACCGGATCGCTTTTCTAAATTCCTGGTCATGGCCACCAAAAAAAAAAAAAAAAAAGAGAGATGCAAACTTTGCTGATGAGAAATGCTTTGGTTTGGTTCTGAGAAACAGGCAAACAAAAGGGGGTTTTCTAAGACTTCGAAGTGAATATGGATCAAGGGCAGAAAAAGGGACAAGGGGAATTTAATACCCACCTAAAACAAGAAAAAGAAAGCATGTAACCTTATTAGATAGCATATGATAGCTGTAAATACACAATCAGTACATGACTGTGTTTAAGGATTGAGAAAAACAAAAAGATAGACAAACACATTTCACAAAATTCACCAATACCAATAAAGAGCAGAAAACTAAATACGGTCCTATAGCCTTTTTCTTTGAAAGAAGTTTCAATTAGATGGGAAAGTCTCAAGATGAGGACAGAATGGTCATGACATGAGCAGGGACATTAAAAAAAAAAAAAAAGGGCACAAAGTGGGTGGGTGATGCCATAACCCCATCAAACTAACAAGCGAAAATGAGAAGCGAAGTAAATCAAGAACAAAGCGAACACAGATCAGGGGAGAGGTGACTGCGAATGGTAATAGACTTCTTGGATATCCATCAAACCAACAGGTGAAGAAAGATGAGAGATTGATATATATTCACATTCTTCTCCCGTTTTTTCAAGGGGTAGAAAGGTAAATCACTTCAAAAAGAAGTTGCTCTTCAACAACTATATGAACAGAGAAGTTAACAATATCATATGTTTAGATCCCAAAACTTCCTCAACCTCAAAATAAGAAATCAAGAAAAGATCCCACCAACCAAACTATATCATCCAAATAAATTTCAAGGAATATATACCAAAAACTCATCAGTGTTGTAGGCTATCAAACATCAAACAACATCTAGCACATAATCTTAAGAAATAATTTTATAACTTGACAAATATCCAAAAAAACATATTTTATAAAATTAAAAAAAAAATGAGTACCTCTGTGAAAGAAACCCAGAATTTTCTTTCTTCAAGTTTCCACCTCTGGTGCTAGTACTAATGGACTGTTGGGATGGTGGTGGTGGTGGTGGAGGCGGTGGTGGCATGGTGGGCGGAGAGAACTTGTTATCAACTCTCCTAGGAACCCTGTTGATGGGCTGTCTAGCTTGACCAGAAGATGACGATTCATCAGCCAAGGCCCTGATCTCAGACCTTGACACTCTAGCTCTCTTCTTTTGTCCCCATTGCAACAACATATCACCGTTGCCACCTCGGCTCGGGCTAGGACCCGGACTAGAGTCACGTCTTTGTGTCTGATTGTGGTTGTTCTCCGAATGTGGAGAACTGGTTGTACTGTTATTGTGGTGGTCTTGGTTTCCCGATGGAGATCTAAATCTGAAACCTTTAGTATCAAAATTAGTACTTGTGGAATTGAATCCATTGGGGATTGACCTTCCGTTCTCGGCTCCATTGGGTTTTTTGTCATTGCTTAAAGGAGCACAATCTGGGCTTACTCTCTGATACCTGTACACAATAGAGAAGCCGTTCATTATTAGTAGATAGCAAAGAGATGATCCGCAAGGCAATGCATAAGGATTATAGAAAGACATCAGAAACATATAGAGAACTGTGTAGTCCAAAGATCATATAATTAAAAAGAGAAAATTGCAATCCTTTCACTGGATCCGGCGCGTAAACCAAGATTAACACATACCATTTTCCTAGGTGAACCTATTGGCTACCACATCATACAATCCGTGCATTCATTCATTCTCAACATAAAACCCAGATTAATCAACCCTATAGATTAGTGAAAGAAAATTAATGGACATAGAAATTGAAGTAATCAAAACACCTCATTTAACTCGAGCAATGTTAGGAGTGCAATCACAAAGGAAAAACTAGAGAAACAAAGAAGTGGTGGAGCATTGAAGTTGATGATAAATGAGGATTCCTTTGCATACTGTAGAAAAGAGGAGGTCGAGATTGAAACGGGTCTTTGACTCCAGCCCGGGAAGAAATGAACATTGCAATATGACATTTAATAGATAAGGCCTAGCTAATCCAAGCAGCAGCAGCAGCAGACTTTTGAGGCCAAAAGAGTCGTCTTTGCTTTTAAAAACAGAGATTTTGGATCTTTGTATTGTCGACAACAGCAATTGACACTAGACAATGGTGGCTGATCGAAACACACAAATTGATGAATACCAGAACCCAAATAATATCTAGATCTTATTGACCATCCAATTCATTGAAGAGAGTGTTTAATCTCACTCTCGAGAGACAATTGATTATTCATCGTATCGTATTATATTTGTTTGTTGAGGAACTTGTCTTTGAAACACTGGAGCATTGTTGTTGATTTTCACAAAGAAATCTGCGAACGAAATCATCTTCAGAACACACAAATAAAAAACAAGCAAAACCCAAGTTAATGCCTCCCCCTCCTCATCATGACCACCATCACCAACAAACAACAACAAGAACCATTGAATCCGGATCCAACAACCAATCCATCTATTCAAAGTCGATAAAATAAAACCAAAAGAAAGCAGAAAGATCAACACTCTAGGCCAAATTTAGATTTGAAAAGCATCCAGACGATGAAAAAGAAAAAAGAAGATGGATGAGTTACCAAGATGAAGGAGGAAAAAAAAAACAGAGAATACTTGTTGAGATAACAAAGAAGGGCACAGACCTCATCATTGTAACCAAGCAAAAACACTTGATGATGAAACTTAGATATTGATACGACTATGTAGACGTTAAAAGTGGGATTCTTGGTTTTTCTTCTAAAGAGATATATTATAAATCTTCATTCAACGGTTTCATCAGCAATGGCTTTCTCATAATCCCATCAAGCAAGACATGTGAACTCAAAGAGACGCCGAGAGAGAGAGATACAAGAGAGAAAAGAGCAGTGGGAGAGAGAAGAGGAAGAAGAAGCCGAGAGGAAGGCAAGGCAGGGAAACAAATACTTTTAGTTGAGTTTACATGGAGATAGGTATATAAATGCGGTTGCTACTCCTACACTCTACCACAGTAGTGTAAGGAAAGGGTTGGGGTATTTTCCATTGGGTCTTGTCTATTATGTCCTTCGTATTCTATTTTGCATCGCAACAGGAACTGTTCCAGCGGGTCAACCAACCATTCCGTGGACTTGCTACTTCGCTCAGCTCGAGACTCGATTAATAATATTGTTCTGGGCTTTTTTTCATTTTCATTGTTAAAAAGAAGCATAAAACTTTAATTTGATTCCTCGTTTTATTTTATTTTTTTGCATGATTAGTTTTTTTTTTATGGTTTGGTTTTAAATTTTATTTTATTTGGTTGAAAAGAGAAAGAAAAGGTTGTCAGAAAAAAATAGATGAGAGAAAAAATATCTGGCCGACTATATTTTAGCTATAAAAAAGGTGATTTTTATGCTTATTGGCTTATTTTAGATAGGATAATTCAATGAAAATGATTTTACTCTTTAAACATAAAAATAAAAATAAAAAGTTAATTGAGACCCGAGAATTTTGTGATTCGAAAAATGTTCACTTGGAGCAGGGCGGCATAGCACAAAAAAAGAGAAGGAACAGGATATGCTATAATCTAAAACCTTCAAAGAAAAAAAAAACATTATAACTACAGGGAGCACCTAAAATATTGTATTGTTATCCATAACTTGCCAGCAAGAAATTACAATAATTTCTATATAAAAAGATTAGAAAACCTTATTAAAATCGAGTAGGGAAATAAAAATAGAAAAACCATTATCTTCAAATAGAAAAACTAGTAAAAGCCCAATAATATTGAATAGGAAAATAAAAATTGAAAAAAAATTATAAATTGAAGATGAAGAAATAAATGCAATTAAGGAGAATATTTATTTTTTTAAAAACCATTTCATTGGTCTTTCTATATTAAAAAAGAACTTATCTTCAAGTTTAAATTATTTAAAAGGAATCATCTTTTTAGTCAAAATTTATCCTCCACTATGAAAATATTCAACATGAGTTCATGGGGTATAACCTCTTCATCTAGGTAGCATGATCTTTTTGTACATGGGGCACTCTATAATGGATTCCTATATCTTTGTATAAATTGTCATATCATAGATCCAATCATCAGGATTTTCGATAATAATATATAGTAGTTAATCACTGGATTTTCAATAACAATATATAATAGTTAAGCACTGTGAATTGTTGTGCTCTAATACAAACTAAAACAATCAATATCAAATAATAATATGGTTTGTTACAATTTAAAATTCTAAAAAACCCACAAGATTTTTTATATATAAATTTAGACTTTAATATTAAGTGAAGGTTTGTTATAAGTCAAAATCATCTAAAGACCAATAATATCATGACTAATAGGAAACACCCCGAATATTTATTTTTATTCATTAAAGTTTCCTTTGTGAGAATACTATCATAACATTTTATACAGGGAAAATTATAAAATTAAAAAAATAGGAAAATTATTATCTCTGAATATAAAATATAGAAAGGCTTTATAATATTGAATAGGAAAAAAAATAAAATTTTGTACAATAAAAAAATAAAAATATTTATTTTTCCAAAAAAATTTGGTAGTAAGAATTTCTAAGTCTATGCATGCTCAGCCTTTTCTTTTAGACCAAGCTACGCATGGTCTTTTTTTTAAAATAACCTTTATTTTTTGTTTTTTGTTTTTTAAAATTTAAATAAAATTATATTTAAATATATTTATTAAGTAATATTTGAAATAATTATCTTATCATTCTGTAGTTTTGAAAAGATTATAATTTTTTAATAATAATATTAACAATTACTGCATGAACAATTATATATTGAGCTAACATGCAATTTTTTTAAAAAAACAAATTGCTCATTTTTATTAATACTTGATGAAAATAAAATATCTATTTTTTATTATAATTTTTGCATATTATTATTCTTATTTTTAAATATAAGTACATAAATATTCAGTTTATATTTTTGTAATTAAAACATGTTTTTATGATTATGAAAAGATTTTATTTAAAAGCAATACTTGCATAAAACAATGCTCTCTTCAAAACAAGAAAGAAATGCATGAATAGGGAAAAGAACTTTGGATTAAAAATTACATTTTTTCTTTAATTTAAATAATTAAATTTTATACGAGTATGTTTTAAATTTTCATTAATTTTTATTTAATAAATCATGCTACCAGAAGATATATTATTATGAAAATAAAACAAAATACATGGATATGAAATATAATTTTGCATAAAAATATATTGTTTCTTTAAAATTTTAATCATTTTAATTGATATATAATTAAATAAAAATATACTTAAATTTTTTTTACTATAATCACACCTACAAAACACTATTTATTAAAATAATATATTATTTTTCATTTATTTCTTATTTATTTTGTTTAAGTTTTTTTTCTTTTCAATTTAACCCTTTAATAACACAATCTTCTTCGATTTCTATAAAGTTTTTGTTTTTCAATTTTTTTATTTGGCATTAAGTTGTTTTGAGAAATAAGTTTTGTAATTTATCTTTCCTTTTTGTTGAGTTATGTACCAGTCTTGTAAATTAAACTTTTTTTTTTTAATTTTAACTTTCAACACTGGATTTATTGGAAATGAGGTTTTATATTCTATTTTTTATTTATATATGAATTCATCTTAATCTAATAATACCTATCATGATTTTAACAGTTTAACCCAAATTAATTTTGATTTTTTTTAATGTTTTTTCTAATTAATTTTTTTAATCATGCTTCAACACTAGGTTTGTTGGGAATCGAGTTTCGTATTTTTTTTCGATCGCTTTTTATGGGATTATTTTGATTTCATGACTTGAGTTGCAGAGTTAGCATATTAACCCAGGTTATCTCAATTTATTTTTTTTCCTTTTTAAACTTGATTTTTTTTTTTAATTGGGCTATGTATTTTTTTTATTTGCTTTTCATGAGATTATCCTAATCTCATGATCCTATCGTGTGCTTAACATGTTGACCACGATTGACTCAATTTATTTTGTTTAATTTTTTTTTTCAATTTCACCCTCCAACAACACAAACTTTTTAAATTTTATATATAAATACTAGGTTATTTCATAATTAAATTTTGAAATTTTATTCAATTTACTTTTCATGGATTTATCTTAGTATTATGAATTTTTTCTTGATTTCAACTACTAACATTAAATCTATTGGAAATAGAGCTTCTTAAATTTTTTTATTTTCTTTTCATGATACTATACTAGCCTTTTAACCTAGATGACGAGTTTAACGAGTTTGTCCGGATTGATTTTAGTTTTTTTTTTGTTTTTTTAACTGGTATATATATTTTTTTCATTTCACCATTCAATATTGAGTTGGTTGTGAATTAAGTTTCATAATATTTTTTTGATTTGATTTATGAGTTTATCCCAATCTCACAATCTAAGCTGTGGATTTAGTAGGTTAACGCCAGTTTATTCAATAAGTTTTTTTCTTTTTTTTTAATTTAATAATTTTTTTTAATTTCATCCTTTAACATTGAGTTGATTAAGAATTAGCCTTAATAATCTATTTTGATTTACTTTCTATAAAATTATCATGATTTTATAATCCGGTTGAAGATCTAATATATTAATTTGTTTCGATTTAGTATATTATTTTCTCAATAGTTTTTTAAAATATTTTATAATATATCATTGTATCACTATTGAAAAAAATCATCTAATATATATTATATTTTAAATTTATAATTAATTTTTTTACCAGAAAAAACATAAACAATATTAGGATATATTTTTTATTGTTTTAAAAATAATCCGACTCACGGTGTGCCAAAGCATGCTATTTTAACCGTTGATTGTTCTGTTTACTGCCCGCTCAGGATCCGAGGCCAATTCAGCAATAATACTCTTCTTCAACTACGAACTTGTGAAGGTGTTTTCCTTTAATTCTTGTATTTTTTGCTTGTTCTATTTTTCGCCGTATTGGATTTTCTCAAATTATGCAAATGCGTCAAACAATTAAGCACTCGTTCTGTTTTCCTTGGCAAAAGATCGTGGTATCGAGCCGTTTGTTTTTGAATTTCACCTTATTGAAGTGTTTCTTTTTCTTTTTCTTTTTTTATTTAAAGAAATATTAAATTAATGTTTTTAGATATTTTTATATAATTTTAGAATATTAA